CTGCAGGATTTAATGCAACTTCAGTTGTGTTAAAAAAAAGTTTTGCAAGTTTTCGGTTATTAAGCAACGGTTGCTCCTCGGCCACATCATTGCAACACAATGGCAAGTGGGTTGAATGTAAAAGCTTAACACACAAAAACCTAACTAGGTCTTGGTGTTCGATCAAGTTGCCGCTGTGATACGGCAACACGACATTGAAATCAAGCAAGCAAGCAACAAAAGTTGCATAGCCCAGATCTTGCTTTACGGAGTCGGGAATAGCATCTTGCGCACCGTGGGCTTAAGGTCGTAGTAGATTTGGTCCAGACGCGTGTCCAAAGTGTTGTCGCACACGATCTTGCCCTGTTTGGCGTACAACACGACACCGCCAGCCTTGGCTTCTGGCAGCATGCCATCAGCCACCTTATTAAGCGTCACTTTGACCTTGCTCACGTCCAGATTGGCCTCTTTCTTCATGGTAGCGATGTACTTGTCCGTGGCTTCCTTGATCACCATCTCCGCTAGACGCACGTCCTTGGAGCGCACAGCAACCACCACGTCGGTCTCATACAGCTTGATCAGCCCCTGGACGATAAGGTCACGCAACAATGCCTTGTTCTTCTCGTCGGCGGTCGTGTAGTTCTTCAACTGGGCCTGACCGTCCACAATGAGCGTCTTCAGGAGCTCGTCACGCGCAATCATCTTCTGTCGACGTGAGGCACCGATCTCCGCCGAGCGAGCACTAGTAAAATAACGATGAAGCGTTAATTAACTTTGCCAATAGCGAGAAAGACACACACAGCTCCCTCACATGCGTTTGTTGATCTCACGCTCCTTCTCCTTGCGAGTGTATTCCTCCTGGATCTTGATTTTGGCGTTGTGCACCAGCATTTGTTTCTCCAAGTTGAAGTCGTGCTCCGTCTGATCAAAATGGTTCCGAGATTTTAGCAACACTTTCCCCTTCACTCTGGTGAATTATTTTTCATTTTTATTACCTTGATGCGGATCTCGTTGGCCTTCTCCTGCGCCTCCTGCAGGATAAAGTTGACCATCTGCTTGATCTGTCGGTCGGCGTCGGACGCGTTCATGGTCGCTCTTGTGCTCTTTTGGCTGCTCTACACTCTACACACACAGGCAAGTCGCTTCCGCTGCTTTTGGCTTTGAAGACAGTCGAAGAGATCTTCTTCATTTCGCACTTAAATGAAAATTTGAGTATTGGCCAATTGGAACTATTTTCACGGACAAAACTGCCTGATAAAAACTGAAAATACAGCATTTGCCGCTTGTGGCCAAGAAACATGTTGCGCATCAAGGTGACGCGGATGCTTGCCGCCGCTCGCCGTAGCTCAGGGCGACAGACGCTACGCTCGATGTCTACGAATCGAGAAGTAGATGACAAGGCTTTTCTTAAAAACATTTCTCAAGATCAAGCCAAGCGCGCACTGGAGCGCAGTGCAGCCATCCGCGCCGATCACATCTCGGCAAAGGGCAATTTCCCAGCGAGCAGCCAAGGCGACCATGATGTAGACTCGGACGAGGCCAATCGCAAGCGCATCATCTACCGCAGCAAGCAGCGCGGCTGGCTGGAGGTGGATCTTCTATTGGGCCGCTGGGCTAGCCAGAATGTCATGCAACTCTCGAGCGACGAGCTGAAGCAATACGAGGACATTCTGAATGAAGAGACCATCGACATCTTCAACTACATCTCCGGTAAAAGCGCTGTCCCACATAGACTTGACACGCCCATGATGAAGAGACTACAAGAATACTGCCTCACGTCGC